TTATATATTCACAAGAAAGTAGCATATAAGGAGAGTAGTTGTTGGGAGAAAGAAGGAACAAAGGATGTAGAAGAGGGACAGGATCGTCTGATAGTGTCAAATGCGCCGTTTCAACTTTCAAGAACAAAGGCTATGATAGAATTGTTGGGGTGTCTCTAGTGATGTAATCGTTAAAGGAGGATGTTGATATCACATAAAGAGGAAGAAAACACATATAGTAGTGGAAAGGGAGAAAGACGACGTAAGTATCCATAGAAAGAGCTCTTACTAGATGTTTTTAGAGTCCTGCGAAGAAATGTAGGAGGGATAATATGCAAAAACAATAAAGCAATAATAATCATCCTGGCCTCTAGAACACAATCTACTGTTCTCACTACTCAATATCAATATGTATATCCAAAATATCTTGACTTGGAGGCGAAGAAACTCTGTTTCCTTCCATGGAGAACGAGAAGATCATTAGAACAGCAAATCCCCGCTTCTGACTGGTCGAGCTGTCAAACGCGCCACAAAAGGCTAAAACGCACATAAGAGCGCGCGCAGAGCCTCTTCGTCAACCCAACTCCCAGCCATCACACGCCAAACTTTCACTCTATGCTCTACGCTCAGAGCTTATGGGTGCCTGATGGATTCCGCTGACGCCTAAGATCACATGAAACTATCTTCTATAACCTTTGAAAATTAACTATCATCAGTCCCCAAATGGTTTTCAAGCTTTTTTGGCTCCGAACCCTGGAGGTACGTAGCACCCCATCTGACAGACCAAAGTCTCGATGGCCAGCTTTTGACTGACATTTGTAATAGATTTGGCTAACTGCACGGGTATGTTTGCCTTCAAGGCATCTGAAAAAGGATTTGCAAAGCTGACTTGTTGACTACAGCTGCTGGCCAGCCCGACATTTCACAGGATGGTCGGAAGAGTCCACCAAAAGGTTCAACACCTTAGGTACGGTGTACCTCCCGAGGAAATGGGAGGCACCAAGCTTGAAAAGAATGGTATGCGAGATAATGCTCCAGAAACAATCATTTTTCTGAAGAGATTGTGCTGACGGCTTTGCCCATAGGTCCCCGCCTCAAACAGTTTTTCGAATACTTTAAAGAAGAAATCAAAGATCAGCTCAAGGGGAAACCGCCGAATAAACTATGAAAACCCGACCTTGCCAGATTCTCGATGTCTCGTGAGTTGATGTACAATATTGTTTTGTGATGACCTACAATGATACCCATCCATCGCTTTCTCTGCTTTGGCTTCCCACGCCACATTCGCGGTAGAATGTCATACCGTTGAGCTTTGTCTAGACCGGATAAAGATTGGGCTGCAGATTTCCTCGCGCCGTGAGCTGCAACCCTCATTCCATCCGAAGAGGAAAGTCTTGCTTCATTCCGCTTTGCCCAGCCGATTTCTATGGATTGTTTGGCTAGGCTTTGAAGTTCGAAGCATATATAAATGAATTATTCTGCTTATGTTGCCTTCTTCAACGTGTAGCTTAGAGTTGACGATAGATGAAACGATCCCATTTCATAGTGTACGATCCTACAGAACCCCTTGAAAGTGACACCTCGAAAATCGCACTATTTCGGCCATCTCGGCCACTACTACTGAACCATGGCGCGAGATGATGGATCTCATGTAAACAATGACCGTACGAGGATTGTACCTGCAGGAGGCACACGTGACCCAATTTATGCATATGTCTTCGAAATATCATACGCCTGTAGTCATGGCGAGGACGAATTTCAAAGGTGCCGACGTGTGCCGGCGACGTCGTATAATTTGCGCTGTTTCGACATCAGATGTTTAATGCCAGGCTTTCGCTAAGGCCATCCCTACTTGATCAGACTACTCGCCCTTTGGAAGTGAAGCTACGGTGTCATACGTCCTATGTATGTACTTCTCGTTCAGCTCTATCTTATATATACTACTTTCCTTGGATCTTAGTAATATAACAAGCTGGGAGACTCCCTTGCGCATAAAGCATACAGTGAGAATTTTGAAACAACTATGGAGTATATCGTGTCCCGTGACATAAGCGTATTTGCATACGTCGTCGGCATGTCCGGCACACGTAAGATAGGCTCAGCCATCACTGCCATAAAGGGAAGTTTTCCGTGATTCACGGATAATGGTGGATGGTCGATCCAAGCGAGTCATCATGATACCTTCATGAAAGATAAATTCCATATATTCCGTGTCTAAGTACTTCTTAACCATCCATAGACATTGGAACGATGACGGAGTGAGACTTGAGAGAACGTTTGTTGTGCTTAGCTAACATTGGCGCATGATCCGAGGAGACAGCTCATCAAAGGATGCCGAAGCTCTCTAAGTGGTGGGTATTAATTAGGTCTCCAAGGAAGCGGCTGGGGCGCTGGTAGTGCGTAAGGTATGGTAAATGTTCATTAAGTGGGTGCCTTAAAATAGCAGCATTGATGAATAAGCATGTTGAGCTTTAGTTAACTAGTTGTTAGTAGGCAGATAGTTTATGTTATGCAGTGGTTGTCTGGCATATTCAAGGGAGCCGATAGCCCGACATTCGATGGAGAATACCACACTAGGGCCAACTAACTAAGTTACCATTGTAGGTGATGGATTAGTCAGAGCAGTCAGTTCGAGAAATGTCAACCAAACTAAAAGTTCAAAAATTAGGGCGTCCTAGCTCCGGCTAAAAGTCCTTCCTGTAAGCCCATTGGAGAAGCAGAGTCTAGACTGTCTCAGCTTCTTTGTGGCTATTGGCCAGCTGACTCTTAGTTGCAGCGCTAGTCTTTGATCCGTACATTTATTTGCTGGCACGGGTGTTTGGGCTTTTCCAGAGATGGTATGGTGGTACGGTAACGTGGTACCGGGTCAAGGCCAAACTCTGAGACCTCCTGGGCTGGCAGTACAACGTCCCTTGGGTACCATTACCAACTTGCGACGGTTTCTGTCTTGAGTTATTTTCCTACCTTCTGACTTTCCAACCCTTTCTTCTTCCTCCAGTCTTTTCCCTTTTATCCCGCCTCCCTTACGCTCGCTTCCTGCACATCGTGCCTCCTCTTCGAATCTGGTCATTCGTTAACCCCTCTGTCACTGTGTGCCTCTCCTGACTTTGAAACACCTGCACTTCACACGCCAGAGAGGTCTCACTTATTTGAATCACCTCAGTCAGCAGTCTCAACACAGCCCCGTCTTGAGCCGAGTCATCTCATATACTACCGGTCATCGTCTTGGTAAAGAGATCTTCGTCATCTTCGACTGTCACCTCTCGGTCACGCCTCACACTTCACCCATCATGCGAGTCGCCCGTCTCTCGTTCCTCCTCTACTCTTTGGCCCTCGTGGCCGTCACGGCTGGCCAGAGCCAGGGAGTTACTGACATAGCTGCCGTCACCTCTGGCCTCCCAGCGGCGACCGCCACGGATTCTTCGACGACCTCGAAAACTTCATCGTCTGAGTCCCAAGAGACCACTTCTACTACTACTTCCGAGAGTACAAAGTCGACAACAACAACAACATCATCAACGGATACTACCTCGACCACATCTAAGAACGATAACCCTGCGCCTACCCCAACCACATCGTCCACAACTTCCAAAGACGATACTCCAGCGCCTACCACCACCTCTGATAGTACGTCGGCAACTGAGACCAGCGGAACGAAGACTTCCAGTTCGAGCGATGTGGTCAAGACGATCACCACTACTCACACGATCAGTGGAACACCTGTGCCGACCACGTACACCACCACTTCTCCGCAAGGCAGCAGCTCGACGGATTCTCCTAGCTTGAACGGCTCAACCAACAAGGACTCCAGCTCTGGTCTCTCTTCTTCTCAGAAGAAGATCATTATCGGTGTCGTGGTGGGTGTTGGTGGTGCCATCATCATCGGTGCTATTGCTGTAGTCATGTGGAGGATCCGTGCCAGAAGACGTGCTGCCGCCGACAACGATGAGGCTGCCGATCTCATGAGTGGCACAGCTGTCGGTAGCGGTGCTCGAGAGAAGGCCCCCAGCCCTGGAGCTGGCGGTACACCATTCAGAAGTACACTTGACCAATACCACAACCCTGGTCCTGTTACCGCTGCGTCCAACTTCTAAGGGTCGTTTCGGCCACTTTAGCTGTTGACAGTTCCTGGGTACCCTTCTTTCAAGGTTGTACATCTGTATGAGTATCACGTCCTTTTGTCATTTGGCGCTTATGAGTGGGAAGCATCTTTGTTCTTTTTCCTTGCTTTCGTTTTCTTTGACTGCGTCCTCGCCATCTGCGATCGTATCTTTTCTTGCATCGTGCCACTGGCACGCCATAGACTGTCCGTCATTCCTTTTGAAGATTACGCTCCTTTCTGCAGCTCAGCTGTTCTCACGATGGTCTTTTTTGATTCCCCCTTTCGAACAACTCGATTATGTACAGGAATGCAGTGGTCCGTCTTGTCTCCGTCGCCGTCTCTCCTTCTTCCACAATGGTTGTCATTGCATAGCCATTCGACCAAAATCTTGTCACGTATGTACGTTTTAATTTCAGACGGAAAAATAGTCCAGATCACACTCAAATTTATCACCAACCGTATTACTGGGGTACTTGGTAGGCCGTGTTGAGTAGGGATCCCAGGCACAGTTGCAGATGTGTCCACGCCATTGGGATTAGTAGCTTCAGTAAGGATCACAACAAGCCATAGCATGATCTTTAGGATACTTCGTATCTTCGTCAGAGCCCATGTCGTTAGATTGACTTTGATGGATTGAGTTCAGTCTATACGGAGTAGCTAGGTATCCCACAGCAACTTAAGCCAGGGTCGAGTCCTGAAACACCGCTCCCTTTCCCCGCTTCAGCTTCTGTGCATGGGTTACTCATCGTCTCATTTACTCAATCAAATGACGAATTTCCTAATTAGTTATCATCTACAAAACAATGCAAGCTCAATAGTCACGATCAACTGGGTCACTGCGCCTATACAGGGATTGTAGCGCATCCCAAAGCATTGATAGCCGCGCGCGTCCACAGCCAAGGCCTACTGTGCAATCAAGATGAGAGCACCTATCTCCTTGCTCTGTCTCTTCGCTCAGACAAGCTGTCTGCTCTGTCTCTGGCCCTCGTTTGCTCTGATTCAAGGGGTGGCGGCGTCAAGACATGACCCCTTAGGTCTGGTGTATGAGGCGGCGGCGCCACCACCACTAGGAAAACGACAGGATCTTCAGGTTCGCGTCACGCCTTTGTCTCTCTGCTTGAAGATTCGGCTGGGTGGCTAATTGGATTCGTTGTGATTGTAGTCGTTTGCGGGGGCGTTGGGTGGTGCCGCGCCTGCGGTGAGTTGTTTTGACCGGGTTACACGTGTTGATGGGAGCGGGACTAATGTTCTCTCGGATAGGTGACGAGCACCGGGGATTCTGAGAGACCGTACGGTGTTAGTGGGAATACTTTTGTATGTTCCTTTTTTGCGTTGCCTTGCTGCGGTTGTGAAGCCGACGGTCATGCTAAATGATTATCATGCAGACAGATTTCGAGTCGGCTGCTCAACGGAGGTCCGTTTGATCCCATGTAAAGCAGGGGGATGTAATGCTGATGACACTCGTGCTTGACAGCTGCAACGAGCAATTTGATTCCTGCCAAAAAGTATATCCTGTCGATAGCCAAAACGGGTTGGCTTTTGTCTCTGACCGGCCTTGATATAGATCGCGAATACAGACCGATCGGCGTCATTCTCGCTGCAGGATTGTCAGGATCAGTTAAGTATGTTGACTTTCCGGCTCACAGGAAGATATGACATGAATTGACGTCGATCTAGAAAGCTGCATGTCTCTATCAACGGTGCAGGCCACGGCGGCTAGCATCAACCATCTAGACTCAGCAAGTGATACGAATGCAGGACCGATAGCTCAGACGAGGATTCCATATGATGATGAATTCGATCTTGTCTGTGATTTATGACGGGTTTCCTGTACAAACTGCCGCTCTAAACATGGACATGTCCCAATCTCTTGTGTTGATATTATGAGATAGATGAATTGACAATTGCGTACATAGGCTTCTACTTGAGGAGTGCATAATCTCTCATCCCAGTATAGATATTCTACTAGAACGATCAACAGCTGCGCGTCTTCTTGTGGTTGATGGGATAGATACAACGCAGCCCTACACATCACTGACATCTGACATTCTCGATTCTAGATGGCTATGGGTAATTTTGCAGCCTGAGGAATGCAATATTTCCTAATACAGATTAGCGTTCGCGCCAAATCGCGTGACCCCGTGCAGAGACGCGATTGTAGCAGACGGTCATTTGGGGGGAAATTCGCGGCACTCTATCGACGCGACGGTGGGCTGGGACACGATAACAGAGCAACGGTTTTAATCCCCAGACAAGACCATGACTCCACAATAGACCCTGCTATCATTGACTCCCACATTTAATCGCTACTGTACGGAGTATTGGCCTTCTTCAAAAGAGCACCAACTGACCCGATCTAACTTCGACCGCCACCATCCTGACTTCCGCTTCCCACATCAAGTTACCATGTTCGCAGCAATCCCACCCGCACAGCCCTATGCCTTCCAAGCGTCCTGCTCGCACTATACACCAATGCATCCGTCTCCATTATCGCCGTGCAGCTCGACGCTTGCCTCAGTACGGCCAATGAACGGAGTTCCCTCCGCATCAACAGCATACACCGGACATCGCGCAACAAGCAACACAGACCGAGCAAACTCGGAATCAACCCAAGCGCACAACTTTCCCTTCTCTACAGAAAACATCAACTCTACCGCATCTGCGACCACGAACTCAAGCCCTCTCACCTCGCGCTCCCGTTCCTCACCAACCTACGCACAGCGCTATGCAGCCCTCTCCAACCCCCTCAACAATGCCTCCCGCACATACGCCACCTCGACTTCACCATCCGCGCGCAACACACGACGGACCGTCTTTCTCAACCGGATCAAGGCCGACCGCGATGCGGAGCGCTTTGAGAACCGCGGGGAGCAGCTGATGATGATGGAGCATGTGGCGGAGCAGAAGCAGTGGGGAGAGCTGATGCGGAGGCGGGCGGATGGGCTCATGGAGGCGTATCATCTGAATGAGGATGTAGGGGAGGACATGGATGGGATGGGTATGTTACTCCTCTCCAGAGTGCAGGAAAATCAACGAAAGAAACCTGACAGTTGTGTAGATGATGCGGATGTGCGTGCGTTGGATGAGTACGTGTCTGAGGAGCAGGCTATGGAAACTGCGCTGTTGGAGACAGCCCATGTGCCATTCGGGAAGACGGACAGAACGCATGATCCGAGCTCCTCGTTTAGTGACGAGGAGTATGATGATATTTTCATGGGTCTGGCTGATCAAGTACCCCAGAGCCAGGATATGGATATGTCGAGTGGATGAGCATTTTGGCTGCGGTCTTTTAAGCATGCATTGCTGGCGTTTGGTCAGGTATCTGGCGTTGGTACAGGGACCTTTTCCCAGTCTCTGGCATGAGAGACTGGTTGTTCATAGATCCGTCGGCAGAGGCCGTATCTTCATTGATGTAAATAGGGTATCGACGTGGTTATATGTACAGAACATGCCAATAATAGATGGTATCAATCTAAACCAGACACCATCGCATCGAAGCCTCAAGCAATCATCATACCCGCTAACATAGGTTCTCAGACGGCAGCCTTATTGCTGGGGACAGTCGGGCAAAGCTGCGCCAGCCTCGCCTGCCATATCCTCCGGCCAGGGATTCGCAACAAGTTCTTCCGGGGGACTACCCAGCGCTTGCATCTAGAGGGTATGAGCATATGCGGTGCAAAGAAAAAGAAAAACATACCTCTTGCATCTTCTCCCACACAGCCTGCCGATACTTCGGATCTTCATCTGTATACCCTTCCTCCTCGAACTTGGCCACAATCTCAGTCACAAGCTTAGCCTGCTTCTCATACCGCTCCATATCCTCAGCAGGGACCTTGCCCTTATTGTCCTTCAACCACGGCCCCCACTTCGCATCCAACTCCTTCATCGGCTCATACAGCATCTCCTTATTGGAAAACTGCTCCATCACACCGGCAATCATCTGAGTCAGGTCGAGATCGTCGCCCCCGTTTCCAACGCCCGCCTCCAGCCCCTTGAGCAACTGCATCAGCATGTCCTCCGAAATCCCCCCGTCCTCCGTCGCCGCCGCCGTAGCCTTATCCCCAGACTCCTTCATCCGATGGATAGTCCGCTGAATGGCATCATTGAAGGACTCTGGCGCAGCCGCTTTCCCAGCACCCGTCGCAGATTCCGACGGTCCACCGGTACTCTGGCCCGCGCCTGCACCCGCACTAGCACTAGCACCCGCAGCAGCACCAGCGCCCTCGCCTTCCTCCGCCATGACATCCGCCAGCAGCTGCTTCAAAAAGTCACCGGGCGGGATCCCGCTCTCCTCGAGCTGCTTCGTGAACGCGTCTGCCCCCTGGTTGATCGCATTCTCGAACTCCTTGTTATCCGGCGCGCCGGACTCCTGCGCCGCGTGGTTCATCATCTTCGCCATGTCCTGCTCGAGCTGGCGCATGAAAGCGTCTTCGTCGATGTCTTCATTGGCGGGGGCTGGTGCGCTTGCAGGTGCGGTTGTGCTTGGCTGGGGGGCGGGTTTGGAGAAGTTATCCAGGACGTCTGGGCAGGTCAGCTAGGGTCAGATGTGCAGGGGTGGCGGGTCGTACCGTCTAACTCGTCAAACTCCGAGTCTTCGTCCTCGTCGGCATCTTCTACGGTAGCTTTTGATAAAGGGGCTTCTTTTGGAGCCTCTGTCACTGGCGCTGTGGGCTTCTCATCGCCAGGCGAGCTTGCGCTGGTTGTGGGAGCTGCGGTGCTGTGGTCGGGAGCGTTCACTGCGGGGGCGGGTGGGCTCTCCTCGTGATGTTGCTGAGTGACGCCCGCACTGGTATTCGGTGATGAGGAATTCATCGTGTTGGTAATTATATACTCCTGAACAATTCTGAGAAAATGACAGGAAAGGAGAGACCGGCGCTGGGGTGAAAGGGACTTTGGCAGACGCGCGCATGTGAAGAAGAATTGTCGGGGTTTCTTTTGGCGGGGAACCGAAAGCCGATCGCCGCGGCTTCGCCAGTCCTCTCTGTGCACGGAGCACTCCGCGTATGCTACTTAATTACTCAGATACGACGGCCTGAACGATTTAACCCTTCTATACTCTCATGTATTCTTACGAATCCAGTCGTCCTCTCCTAATTCTTTAGCGGAGCTACGCTTCCCCGGCTCCCACTGCAACATATTCCGCATAAAGCGTAGAAAACTCGCTTTGTCTTGACCCTCGAGAGCGGTTTCCCTCTCCTCGAGCGGAATCCGATGTTGTAATGGAATCCCAGCGCAAAAGTCGCCTAGAAGATCAAACATCGTAAGTTGATAGTCGGACACCAGAAAAAGTTGTCTTACCTTCGTCGGAAAAGAATTTGTGGCTCAGCCTCCCTTGAGAAAGAAGACTGGGCGGCGGGGGCCCAAGGAGACTGATCACCTCAGCGAGATGAGCTCGACTTCGGTATGTCTGAAGTTCTGGGTCGTGGCCAGTAAATGAGAATCCGTCTTCGAAAATGTCCCAAATCTGTGATACAACATTTCAGAAAATTGCTGCACAGTATCATTAAGCTCATGGTCTTACCATACATCCCACATTCCATATATCGACGCTGCACGTCCAGGGGACTTCCAGAATCACCTCCGGTGCTCGATAAATATTAGGTTGAATGTCTTCCGAGTGCTCTATACCACCGAAAACCGCTGAGCCAAAGTCGCAGAGGACCGGGGCGCCACATTCCTTGGGCATTCTGAGTTCCCAGGAGACGTAGATTATTCTTCCATCCAGTCCCTTCCTCGGGCAAGGGGTTTGAAGCTCCTGCTCTTCAAAGTCACTGAAAACCGAGTCATCGGTGATGCCAAACATGATGTTGTCCTCCTTGATGTCTGATGAGATTTCCCGAGTAAGTAGACGATAGAAGCAGAGGAGGGCAAAATTGGAGCACAGACCAGTATGTATGATCTGGCATTCTGTATGCTGATAGTCTAGCGCCAAAAACATGCGCTGCAACACAAATGTCAGGACTGGTTGAGGCAGCCTATGGACTGGGTTGCGGTGCAAAAAGGTCAACACACTCTCCCATAATGGAGGATGCACGAGGCATCGATGTTCGTCGTCGGGCCCATCGACATCAAACGAGTCGAGTAACGATCTAACAGCTTTGCGACCTGGGTGGCTCTTCGAGCCTCTCTCCATGCGTTGGTACATCTTGAGCTCGTCATCCAATTGCTGTCCCATGGATGTAGACTTGATAAAAATCCTTGAGGGTAACATAGCGACAACGGCTGTGATAGTGCGTGAGCTAATCAATCCAGGACTGGCCATTTCCATGACTGCCACGGGGGTCTCACTTCATGTCCCGTGCAAGCCACACAGTTGAGCTAGTTCCGAATCCTAGTTTTCCTACGATTTGATATTGATCCTTGAAAATCCGTCCTATTCGAACAGGGTAATAGCGGGAAGCAACATAATTTGGGATGGTTTCTTCTTCGATCTTCTGACTGGCAGGTATCCGGACGAAGTTGGTATTGGAGAAGTTGAGGGGCTTCCATGTCCGTCCCAGTCGTGGTAAAGACCGTAGAAGCGATGGAAACATCGTCAATAAGGGCTTATCACGAAAATCCCTGAGAACGAAAGCAGGATGGATCTGATTGACATGGTTTGCTGATGCCCCGTGGGTTACTGATCCCCGATACCCCGGGAAAGCACATTGTAAGCATCAAGCAAGGACTTCACCCTCATTCAGGGTCAGGCTATATGGTCACAAATTACTCAGTGACACAGATCATAGTGAAATAAAGATTACTTATAAGGGTAGCTTTCATTGAGCGATAGAAGCACTTTTGAGGTAGTAAATAAGTAGACGGGCCTTGTGGATCATTAACGGTGGCATTGCGGGATCTCCACATAACGCTACTTAAGCATGATTGATGCCTTGCGAGATTTTAGCCGCCAGACACTTTCAATACATGGGAACATAATCCGATGAGATCAAATCCACGCCCAGTTTTGGCAGAAGTTGATCCCAGTACAATAGCTAACCAGTACCCGGAGTTACAGTGGCGTCAGTGATGACAGCAAGGATCCAGGTGACTCGAGACTTGACTATGCCTTCTCCCACTTGGGGACTGTGTGTAGGTATCACACTCTCTGCTGGCGGAGGCAGACTTCGATTGTCTTGACATGTACCTGGTGTTTGACCTGATAGACACTCATGGGGAGAGTTGATAGCTGTGTCTGTATCGCGAACTACGATTCGAGGAATAGCTCAGTGGACAGACTGCAAGGTAAAGCTCGTGTGGCTTCGTCGGGCTGAATCAACATTTCGTTGTTCAGCTGAGAAGTAGTAGCCAGACCATATCGAAGTCAGATCTAGCCCTCAGCATCAAGGTTCGGCTTCCTGGCGGATTCGCCGTGGACACCTTCCTTGGCCTTTTTGCTGAGATCGCTACCGGCTCTCGTGGACCATGTTATTAACGGCGTTGGGCCTTCCATATCCTTCAGGGCCTCCTTTGTCGGCCTTTACACTGTTCCATTCCATGAAAACGCCACCCCGCCAAACACATCCATTCCTGTCTTGCTGTATCCATCTGTTCCCCGGTGACCATCAGCCGGTGTGGTGAGACAAGCAGGGAAGAGACAGGTAGGTCTGATGGCAATACAAGGAGTGTGTGTGTGTGTGTGTGTGTGTGTGTGTGTGTGTGTGTGTGCTTGTATTGGATGGTGCAAGGGCCCGTCTTGTGTTGGTTTCTCTGTCGTCTGGTGCAGTTGCAAGACATACCAAGCATTCTCTGAAGAGCTGTCCTCTTGAACAGTAGAAAGTTTCAAGAGGCGCACTAAGATTCTAGCAAATGCTGTCCTTGTCCTGCAACGACTGCCAATATTTCCAATTCATACACCGTTACAAGCTGCTGGAGGCCTTCGCTGCCGTCTCAATTGGCAGCTGATCTTGACAGGATGCGTACGGTGTTGCCTGTTGATCCGTCCTCCCAAGGTCCGGCCATCCTGTACGGCCACAGGCCTTGATGCATGCGAGTCATGGAAATGCTGGGGAACGGCACAAGTATGAAGTAGTGCTGAAGTCTCTTGCACGGTCAAAGTAAGCTATAGCTTGCTGTACGTCTCCCTTGCCTCGTGTCTCTTGCCATTTCTCCCCGGTGGCTTCGATAGAGCAGGATTCATATTGCTAGGAAAGGGGCTGGCTGCTCCTGGGATCAATCCTCGCGATCTAAACGCACAGGAGTTACTTACAGTGCTTGGGGCTACGATTTTAAAATGTCGGGTTTAACTAATCATAGCATAACCATCAAAATTCAGCTATCGAAGTTCTTAATAGGAGGTCTCTCAACCCCAACCTCCCCGCTCATTGATTCAAGAGAGACGCATCTGATTACTCCGTAGTCGAGGTGATGTTCTAAGCGCCCTACGGTTGGTAAAAAGAATCGGCAGGGTCCGACCTCACTTTCGAAGGAATTTCAGGAAAGGATCGATTCACTAGAGGGAAGTTAGTAGTATGTAAAAATAAGATCCCATTATTGAAAAGGGGCAATAGAGTAAAGTCCTTTTAGCACGGTGTAGTCTAACGCCGAGTAGAGTAGTTGGGCTCCGTAACAATTTCCCTTTCTAGAAGCTTCTGGAGATGATATAGATACCAGGGAATCGCAATTCCTGGACGGAATATTCGTAGAATTCACATCTTGACGTTCATATACTTTATTATCATTATGGTCAATAAAGGACAGAGATCATGGTGAGTCGACCCCTTTGCCTCACTGTATCCTGCTAGCCGCCCAGCTGCTAGACTACCCCGCGGAAAAGACACCCCTCATCCCCTGACTGTTTGCCAAGAGTGCAGGGAAAAGCTCAGATCATCAGATGATGTGCCCCGTGGCTGATCCTCGTGATGTCACTCCTTGCCTGTGTCTTTGGCTTCTTCACGACTAGATGATGATAGGCGACAGGGATACGAAGTACGTGTTTCCTTTCTTCTTGCGTGGTAGTGCCAGAGTACCAGGCTTTTCGGAGGTCTCAGTGTTGAGGTACCTTGGCCTGCCAGGGAAGGTCATGTGCCATCCCCAGAATCAATAGGTAATAATGCTTCTGCTAGGATAGAGTACTCATAGCCTCATAGGGTAATTTAGTCGAGCGTCCTGATGGGGTTCTATGTCTTGTTTGACGTTCCAGAACTGCACGACGTCCACGGTCCTCCGTACTGTGAGCCGATGGAAGCCGGCATCGGCGGGTCTTGTCCGTGCTGTACTCCGTACGCCATACATCAAAACCATGCCATAGTCCCTGCTAGCCTAGTTCATGAATGCGAACATGATTTGTCGGGAAGGAAATTCAACTGTTCCCAAGATCTATCACAGTGAAAATTTTAAAAGGGACATTAAGCGAGAAGCGTACCAGGGACACCCGAGCAGAATTTTCCAGTACTGAGAGAATGGAGGAAATACGGTATTCTTGGCTTGTAAGAATGGTAACGGCAGCCTATTGGCCTATCCGTACTTCCTTCGTCATATGGTTTCTCCGCGGACAACTACCTACTTGAGAGAACCCCTCGTCCAAGGGACTATATGGAAAGATAATCATGAAGGGGATTTCAGGTTTGGGATTCTATGGGGGTAGTTAGACGGCAAAGCAACATGTCTCAAAATCTGAGCAGCTTTCTATCTGCTGTTCACTGAGAAATGGCATGTATGCTCTCTTGGAAAAACAATGGATTTCCTGTTACGGCCAAGTCCACTTGTTGCCTGCATTGGGACATGGCGTCGAGGGGTGGCCTAGACGGACCAACAAATCCACAGGGGCACAACCTCGAGGGGCACACACTGACGACTGACGGCGGACTTGTTCACGTTGTTCTTCCTTGACGTGCCCTGACGGATCTTCGGCTGCTTTGATGAATCAGACTGTCTCGGTGGGTCGATACCTTCCGTTCGCCAACAGAGAAGTAAAGAGAAAGTCGAGGATTCTCAGCATTCTCTGAATTGCCAGAAAGAGGGGAAATAACCTGTTTGCCGAGTTTAGACAGACTGGGGGGATTAAGGGTTTGATTAAGTAGAAAAAAGAAAAGAAAGCGAGTTCGTAGCATGACATCTGAGGGTATCGCTCTGTTTGAGCCTAGAGGCTATGGTCTCCGGTGTCCACCACGGGCAAGTCGCTTTTTTTCCGCTTTTTTTTTTTCTTTTTTTCTTTTTCTTTTTTACTCCTCTTCGGGTGCCTCCATCAATCAACAATTGGATTCAAACGACAAAGTGGGCTTTTTCTTCTTCTTTTGAACTCTTGCCCCAAGTCACTAGAAACAAAACTAATTATAAGATCCCTTTTCTTGTTAGTAAATAATTTTACCTCACATCTTCCCACCACCACTCCCTTTCCTCCTCCTCTTACCATCCTCAATCTAACCGTTTAGCAATCGTGCTGTATCTCTTATCCCATCATCAATTTCCTTTATGTCACATATCGACTTAGACTCTTTCAACCTGACTACCATCCGCAACAGCCGCGCGTCTCCAGCGTTTGATCGATAGCCCTACAGGATTCAAGACCTTTATCTCCATACCGGTCTTTTTTTTTATTTTATTATTATTAGTATTTTTCCTTTTACCCATTATCTTTTTTTCCGTCTAAGCGCGGCTTCGAGCGACCAAGTCCGTCAGCTCCGGTTCATCGCAATCGGGGTTGATAGTGCCATCACATACATACTTCGTTATCTTTCTCTCTCATTTTGATCTCTTCCTCTTTCGTCCTGGCTGAGTAGGCGGGGAAGGGGGGAATATCACAGAAGATTCAAGGGGAAGGAAGGCACCAGGCGCATCGTCGCTATAATCACAAATGGTCTCTATGGTTGAGACCTCCAATTCAAATCACAATGACACGGCCACGGATTCGGTCGTGCCTAAGTCTGAACCCTTACCCGAGGGATCGACCAGTTCATCAGTGTCAACGCCTGAAGCAGAGGGTGAAGTTCCAATGCAGGACGTAGCCCAGACACAGAAGCGAAAAGGTGGAAGAAAACCCGTACGTAAATCCTTACACTTCACCACCTTTTATTGCTATCAGTTTTTATGGTTTCTATTTCTTTTTTTTTTCTTCCCTTTCTGTTAAAAGGCTTAGCCTTAGCCGTTGACTCATGAGATATCTTATCTACATCTTTATCTCTTGTTCCTGCGTTAATGTGGTGTGCTTTTTCCATGTGTCTGTGTTCAAATCTGGGGCCCCGCACTAAATTTCTCTTTATCATTTATCATCATGATTGATCATCCCTTATC